CCTCTTCCCTGTAACTAAAATAAAGTATATTTATATTGAAACAGCCAGCTGGGCATAGTGGCTCACACTTGTAATCCCAGTACTTTGGGAGGCCAAGGTGGGTGGATTACCTGAGGTCAGGAGTTTGAGACTAGCCTGGCTAACATGGCAAAACCCCATCTCTACTAAAAACACAAGAATTAGCCAGGTGTGATGGTGTGCACCTGTAGTCCCAGCTACTCAGGATGCTGAGGCGGAGGTTGCAGTGAGCCAAGATCACACCATTGCACTCCAGCCTGGGAGACAGACTGAGACTCCATCTCAAAAAAACAGAAAAGAAAAACTCTACTACAACATATAAAGAAACCTAAATGACTGGAAGGCAACATCCTTGTCCTCCACTCATTTTTAAAGTATTTTAGGAAATTCTGCTTTTCAATATTGGTGGTGAAACTGAAAAACACGTAACACACATATCTGTTTTTAATGCAATCTTCCTTATTCAGGTTCATGGTTGTACCCAATGTTAACTGAGCAACTGCTCAGTAGTAGAGTTTTTCAGGAGCTATTCTAAGTCATCTGCATATATTTTATTCAATCCTCTAACTCTAGGCAGTAGCTACTGCCACTTCCTCCATTGCACAGCTGAGGAATCTGGGTGTTTAGGTAACCTGTCCCAGGTCACTCGGCTGAGTCAGGCTTGAACCCAATGTGATTCCAAAACCCATCCCCTTCGCTACTTCTCGAAACATGCTACTGATTTCTGTCACAACTAGGGGTCATTTAGAAAAGGTAACCATTTTTCCCTTGCAGCTCAGCCTCTTCACTCCTTGTCTCTTTCTTCTACTTTCTTTCCTGCTTCCTGTCAGGCTAATGCATACCTTTGGATTTCCTCAGTGATCTTTTCCAGCCACAGCCAGGAACCTGGCCTCCCTCCGGCTCCCAGAAGCCAACAGTGCAAGCTCAAGAGAAAGGCTGAGCCTGCAAGGAAACCTAAGCAGCTGGCCACTGGCGACACACACAGGAGCTCTGCCTGCGAAGTATGAGGCTACTTACCTCCATGTATGCATCGAGCTCCCAGACTCAGGTAAGACCACATCCCCTGACCCTTCCCAGGGATGCATTTATTTTCATGGTTACACAGAAGTGAGGAGCTCTCAGACTCTCTGAGCGAACTGCTGAAGTTAGCAATGTAAACTCAAAGCAAGGTGAATAGCTGCTAATCTTTCCTTCTCTAACACTTATTCATACTCTAATGTGCATAGGGTAGGAAATTTTGGAAACTTGGGAGTAAAATATGCTTCATTAAATCATATTTCCTTAGGGTGACTGGGAACTACAAGTTTTGTGAAAATTTCTCTAGAAGCTCTTAGGGTCATTTTAAATAAATTATGAATTGCTTAGCAGATATGCTGAATTTGTTAGATGCCTGTATCCAGGGCTTCCATTAGAAAGAAGCTGTTCTGTGTCTACAGACTTTTCTGACACAATGTGAATGATGACATCTGACTGTGACAGCAGGCCACAGCGCGTGGATTCAGGCATCCCCCAGACCCACGTGTCCACCTTCAAGCAGTGACCTTGAACCAGTTACTTAACTTCTTCAAACCTCAGCTTCTCTGTAAAAAGATAGGGCCATTAACATTCCTTGCGTAAGGTTACTGTAAAGATCAAATGATGTCATGTCTGTAAAAATGTCTCGCACAGGCACTGGCAGAGTAGACATTTCATAAATGGTAGTTTTATTTAATTTTATGTCATTTTAAGGGAAGGGCAGATGTAAAAGCTTGTTATTGAGAAATCAGGAAACAGAAGCCATAAATTTGTGGTCTGCAATTTTTCCTTCACGTAGGAAAACTGTTCACCAAAGCTGTATTTGCAAATAGAGATACCAGAATCTGTTACAATACCCAAACCTCAACTTTTGGTAATCAGACACTTCAAAGTTCGGCTATAGAATGTTTTCCTGCTATATACATATTTACTATATAAAAATCAAGAGAAAAATACAGAGTCTGAGTCCATAGGGAATTCAGATGATCAGATGTAAATGCTAAGTTCCACAGTCTATCAGAAAAGAAATAATCATTTACAAAGATGATAAATATAGCGCTGACAATAAGAAAATTAGTAAATCAGAATAAAAAATAAATCACAATAAAAAACATTTATCGCCAGGACAGTGGCTCACGCCTGTAATCTTAGCACTTTGAGAGACCAAGGTGGGTGGATCATGAGGTTAGGAGTTCAAGACCAGCTAATCCCAGCTACTCAGGAGGCTGAGGCAGGAGAATCATCTGAACCCAGGTGGCAGAGGTCGCAGTGAGCCAAGACCATGCCACTGCACTCCAGCAGGTGACAGAGTTAAGACTCCATCTCAAAAACAAACAAAAAAACTATTTATGAAGAAGGCTTATGTGGAAAAATTACATTTCCTTCTGTCTTTAAATTATCTGCAAATTACCTAAACTTTCATATTCAGCATTATTTCTAACTTTTTTTTTTCCTTTTTGAGATGGAGTCTCTCTCTGTTGGTCAGGCTGGAGTGCAACGGTGCGATCCTGGCTCACTGCAACCTCTGCCTCCCAGGTTCAAGCAATTCTTCTGCCTCAACTTCCCAAGTAGCTGAGATTACAGGTACCCACCATCATGCCCAGCTAATTTTTTTTTTTTTTTTGTATTTTTAGTAGAGACGTTGTTTCTCCACATTGGCAAGGCTGGTCTTGAACTCCTGACCTCAGCTTCCCAAATTGCTGGGAATTACAGGCATGAGCCACCATGCCTAGCCTACTTAAAATTTTTTTTAAGATTAGAAAAATGGAGTAGCCATTGCTTTGTTCAACATTTCCCTTCAGGTAACAACATAATTTATCTACTGAAAAGAGGAGACATGGGTGCTCATAAAGAAATGCTGTAATACATGTCAGCCCAACAACAACAAAATGTGCAACAAAACAGCTCGGAAAGAAAACTGAAACGGGAACCCCCTGATAAGAATTGTTCTTTGCATGAGGCTCCTGGGCCTACAACTAAGCAAGTATCTCACTGCCCAAGTGGCTGGAAGGCATTTGCTATTTAAAGAGTGCAATCGCTAGAAAGGAGTTCAGGCTACAGTGCCTGTCAGCAAGCTTAGATTACAGCAAAACCTCTGAAGTTACTTCCAAAAACATAATCAAAGCTCTCCTCTGCACAGTCAGAGCAGTGGCAAGTTCCTAGAACTGATTTTGTTGCTGAGTTCAGCACTAAACAATCTCTGAGAAAGCTCAGATGAACCAGGCTGAATAAACAAGAAACAAACCAAAAAATTTTCCAGTGGAGTTTCAGCCACAACTAAATGAGTTGTCCTGTTTCACCAAAAATTCATGCATATACCTCAGTACTCCCCTCATCTTCAAAAAAACTACAGTTGTCCAACTTTCTAAAACTCTCTTAAGTTTGATAATATTAAAAACAATGATAGTGAGACCTCCACTATTCTTTCCCTCAGATATAGAGATAATATATCTAAAGCAAGTACATAGTATTTTTATGAAAATTGTCTATAACCACACAAGCTGTATTATTTCTGCCCATGTTTTAAAAATTAAGAGTTTTTAGTTTAAATCCATCCTAATCGCCCCAGGCCCAAAGAAGAGAAGAATGAAAAGTTACAGGGTTCTCTAAAAGCATTTTGTTGCCAGGCGTGGTGGCTCACGCCTATAATCCCAGTACTTTGGGAGGCTGAGGTGGGCAGATCATGAGGTCAGGAGTTCAAGACCAACCTGACCAACAGGCTGAAACCCACATCTCTACTAAAAATACAAAAATTAGCCAGGCGTGGTGGTGCACACCTGTAATTCCAGCTACTGGGGAGGCTGAGGCAGGAGAATCACTTGAACCCAGGAGGTGGAGGCTGCAGTGAGCTGAGATCGTGTCATTGCACTCCAGCCTGGGCAACAGAGTGAGAGTCTGTCTCAAAAAAAAAAAAAAAAAGCTTTTTGTTAAGAAACAAGCCCCTTTTTAAAGAAAAATCTTAAAGGATCTATGGGAATAGATACAATGGATACAATTTCAGGAAGAATTTCGTACCTTCAAGTTTATGTTTAAGAAGAAATACAACTGGTTAAATCCAATTTAATAACATACTTGTTTTAAGAATAAAATTCCCTCTTTCGTTGGTACCAGAATTTGTGCTCATGCTTTGCTGTCTCTAGTGGTACAGATTCCCTTCTACTACAATTTAGTTGGGAGTACTTGAAAGACCTCAAATGGGCTTCTCTGAGTATCATTTCTCAAGGCTCCCACAGAGAGAAAAACCAAACAGTCACAGACAGAATAAACTCTTACAGAGGCAATTGTTCATTTCCTGAGCTAACCCACTTCCTTCTTCATACATTTCCTTCTCTTCATCAATGTGTTTTTTGAAATTAGCATTGAAATTATCTTGCAAAATACATCTGGACCTACAGCTGGGATTCTAGGCAAATTCCAATGCCCATGTCATTTTCAGTATCATCGCTGTAGTGATACAAAATTAGAACCCCAAATGAAGTGTCATGTCAGTAGTACAGAAGGCTCCCTGCAATGTTAACTGTGTTTCAGCAAAAGAATCTGAATCATTATGAACTAGATCCATACTGTGAGAAAACAAATGTTATTAAAATGAAAAACTGCATGCAAAAAATTTCATGGCTCCTGACTACTCCATATGGAAAAGTATGGCATCTATCATAAGGAAATAAGTTTATTCAACCTTTCAAATCTTAGCAAAACTGTAATGAGTTGTTGGGTTTCTCCACTCTACAACCTTGGAGACAAAAACTTGAAGTCTCATAATTATTAAAATTACCTATTAGACATGCACCTTCTCAATGATTACCATCTTGACTTTGATCAAAGCTGACACAGTAGGTTAAACTAAAATGTGGCTCTCATTATTCTTCTGTGCTAATAAATATAATTTAAAAAATAAAATCACTTCTCACCTAATATAAAAAGCTTTACTTATTTAGAGTGATACCACAGAAACAGACAAAAGGAACAAAGTCTCTCAAAATGTTTATTTTTGTCAGAATAGCTGACGATTTTCTGTTAAGTATTTTGGTTTTAATTATAATAAGCATTTTCCCCCCTTGAAAAATCCATTCAAAATATCTCAACCCTTGAGGTAAAGCATTTTAACTAAATTAAAAAAAAAAAAATCCTGATTTGTTTTAAAGAAAAAAATTCTTAAAATTCCATTAGCTTGATAAATAGAAATAATCTCTTCTTGTTCTACTCTGGTGAACATAAATGTATTTCCTACAGCCAAGAATCCAGTCACTTATTGGCAAACCAAAGGTGAGAACAATTCATTTACACTCTCTACTCAAACAGTGCAACACTGCCGTGTTCATATATACTTTTCTTTTAGAGTTACCAACACTCTTCTGGCAAAGACAAAGTTTTGGAATGGCAAAAGCAACAGAAGTTTTAGATTTCAAAGCTCCATAAAGGAATTAATCGGAGTCTTCATCATCCAGATAGTCCTCGGCATTGCTTAATGTTCGGACTGCATCTAAAAGAAATAGGAGGGAAAAAAGAAAAACAGGGTAATTAAAAACTGCTCATTTTTTTCATTTTCAAAGCTCTTCAATTAGAACAGAATCTTGCATCTGACCCAGGATTGTACTTTCTCTGAGGATCTTCCTCTGCTTTTGCTTTTCAGCCTAACCATTAAGTTTCTGTTGCCACAGAGGCTGACAATGTGTTCCTTAGTCATGTGGAAGAGTGAAGCACATGGTGCTAGGTGTCATGCATCCATTTCCAACAGAAGGGCCCAGCCACAGGCACCATGGCTGACAAGACACACCACCAGCACTCTAAGCTCTGACAACTGCGCTTCCAACCTCCTTTCCCAATGACAGCCTGAGGTCTTGCCCAAAGGCAAGGTTCCTGCATAGGAAGTTTCCTACTGAAGGGAAAAAAGGAAAAGAAAGAATGAAAATGAAGTTTCGATTTCAGTGTAGAAAACACTGAAAATAAAGCAGAAGACTGAAATGGTGGGAATAAAAGGTTTTAAAATAGAAAGAGCTGGACCCTATCAAATGTTCAAGCAACCTTGAGCAGGGCTCAAAAGGAAGACATTTGATCTTTAACTGTCACCTCTTCAGCTGTCTAGTCAAATTCCTATAGCAACAGATTACCCTAGGTATAATTTTAGTGGGAAAAACAAAATGCAAACACAGGCACATTGTTCAGTAAATATATGTCACAGCACCCAGATCATCATGGTCTCTAAGTATCACATCTCTGAAGCTTATCATAAATATGACCGGTTCCAAGTATGGGGCAGGAAGTATAAGGGATGACTAGAACCCTAGTCATGCCGTAAATCAAGGATCCCATCAAAGACAGCATCACATGAAAGGGTCTGAGATTCAACTTAAAGAGGCCTCCACTAGCCAAAGATGGGCTACAGATAAAGCTACTAACTGGAATGGATTAAAGCACATCAAATATTTCAACACACACCAAAAAGAACTCATTTGTCACCCTTTGGAGAATGATAGAGACCAGCTTATTCTTTTAAAAACTCCAAAATAAAGCACGAAAATCAAGCATTTATCCTGCACTTGCTACATTAACTATTCCTCTGCATAACAAAACAACTGATGAGGGAAATCTTTATAGAATATTCCATCTAATAACTCAGAAAGAAGTGATTTAACTAGAATATCATCATTTTGTGTTATTTAGTGAAGTAACAGATCTAGGCAATGATCATCAACGGATGTGATATCACAGGTAGAGTGACAACCAGATATCACAAGCCTCTGATAAAAGAACACTATATTCTGTATGATATATTATTCCTTCTACTCCCAGGAAAAATACATGATTAGGCACGCAGGCAGACATAAAGAAGAGGGACAGATAGACAGATAGATAGAACCTAAATTAGATCAAACCTCTAGCTAGATAGACAGGTAAGTAGTAGGTAGGTAGGTAGGTAGAGAGACAGAGAGATAGCACCTAAATTGGATCAAACCTCTAGATAGGTAGACGATTGATAGATGATTGATTGATTGACCTTAAATTGGATCAAACCTCTAGATCTAACACCAACTGACAAAATCATAAAGGACAGAGGAGTATGACACCACATTGGGAATGTAGTCAGCAATGTCCAGACTGGGAAATTCAAGTTAATTAACCCAATTTCTTTAATAAATGAATGGCAAGGTTAAAAAGGGGGAAGGAAGAGTAGAGGGAAAGGAACTGTTGATTAAAAAATAATTTAGGAGCTATATCTACCAATCACAAGCTGACCTTATGTGAATCCAGACTTAAATAAACCATAAGTAAATAAATAAGTAAAAACAAATAAAGATGTATAAGAAAATGAAAGTTTGGACAAGGACAGGTATTTGATGATATTAAGGAATTATTTTTTGGTATCCTAATCTTTTTTTTTTTTTTTTTAAAGAGTCCTCCAGTTTACAAGTTTTGGGAAATGATTATTGAGAAAAAGAAAAGGAGAAGGGAGGATCAGTACAAGGGCGGTGGAAGCCGATTTATCTTGCAAGAGAGAAAAGGAAAGAAAGCAGAACAGAGGCAAGTTGCTTTTCTGGATCACATTCTGTCACCCAGGCTGGAGTGCAGTGGTGCAATCATGGATCACTGCTGCTGTAACTTCCTGGACTCAAGTGATCCTCCTACCTCAGCCTCCCAAGTAGCTGAGACTACAGGCGTGCACCACCACACTCGGGTAGTTTTTAATTTTTCTGTAGAGACATCATCTCACTATGCTGTACAGGCTAGTCTTGAACTCCTGGATGCAAGCAATCCTTCCTGCCTCCCAAACTGCTGGGATTACAAGTGTGAGCCACTACACCTGACCGTGTTTCAGTGACTTTACACCAGCTTCCAAGCTGGTCACACACCCAGGAACTTTAGGACTTCATGTCAACTTGGTACAAAGTAGCTTTCTAACCTAAAGCCTGAGAGACGAACAGGAAAGCTCTTTCCCCTTCTACATTGCTATCCAAAGCGTTGCCCATATTCTGTGTGCCCAGATGCTTACTTCTGCTCGTTATTTTATTCTTACTTCTCCTATTAAAAACAGAGGATGACTTGCACAGTGGAGACTGACTGAGTGGTCATCAAAAGACAGGTACAAGTCAGACAAATAAATTCCTTCTCCTTTCTTCCCTCCATGAACTGTTGTGAGGCAGTTTTCTTGGGAAACCTCCCACATGGTCAGGTGTTGAGTGATGCGATGTATTTCTTCATAGCCCACCTCCGGGTGTAGCGCGAATGGGAATGTACCCCCCGGCAGCACTGCCATCCTCCCCTAGCTCGTGTTCATTTTTCCTCAATCCCACCACCCTGGGTTTACACATCTCAAATCAAGAAGCAGCACTTAAGACCCACCAACAAACATACAAACAATAAATAAATGATGGAGGAATAAACACAGTCACGCGGATGAATCTTATAGACGTAATGTAAATGAAAGAAGTCAGTCACAAAAAAGTGTATACAGTTCGATCCCACTTTAAAATTCACGAACGGGCAGAACTAATCTATGGGAGAGAAGCAGAAGACACTGGGAGACATGTGGCATGTGGGAACTGTTCTCTAGCTTCATCTGGGTTGTGGGGAACAGATGTAAAAAAATTCATCAAGCTGTATGCTTAAGATGTATGTACTTAATGTAAATTATACTCAAATTTTTTAAAGTTGGAAAAAAATTTTAAAGGACTCAACTCTTAGGTATAACCCTAACCTTGAGCCCTCTATCCTAGTTATCTTCCACAGTAACTGCAACATGTGACTTCTTTTGTACCTATTACAAAATCCATATTGTGTTTCTAAAAGTAGAAAACAACTCACACCAGTAATCCCGGCACTTTGGGAGGCCAAGGCAGACAGATCTCCTGAGGTCCGGAGTTCAAGACCAGTCAGGATAAAAAAGTGAAACCTCACCTCTAGTAAAAATATAAAAATTAGCCAGGTGTGGTGATGCCCACCTGTAATCCCAGCTGCTTGGGAAGCTGAGACATGAGAATCACTTGAGCCTAGGAGGCGGAGGTTACAGTGAACTGAGATGGCATCACTTCGCTCCAGGCTGGGCGACAGAGTGAGACTCTGTCTCAAAAAAAAAAAAAAGAAAAGAAAAGAGGACAACAATATCGCAATATACCTTTTCCAACTTAAGAGTTCATGCTGACAATTAACTCCTTGGCCAAATAGTCCAACCCTATTCAAATGAGGATCATAATACAAATTAAATCTTTTTTTTTACTTTTTGAGACGGAGTTTCGCTCTTGTTACCCAGGCTGGAGTGCAATGGCGCGATCTCGGCTCACCGCAACCTCCGCCTCCTGGGTTCAGGCAATTCTCCTGCCTCAGCCTCCTGAGTAGCTGGGATTACAGGCACGCGCCACCATGCCCAGCTAATTTTTTGTATTTTTAGTAGAGACGGGGTTTCACCATGTTGACCAGGATGGTCTCGATCTCTTGACCTCGTGATCCACCCGCCTCGGCCTCCCAAAGTGCTGGGATTACAGGCTTGAGCCACCGTGCCTGGCCAAATCTTTGTTTTTTTAAACTGTATAATTAGGGAAATGAAGAAAGTAAGAACAAAAGTAACATGAAAATTGAAATATAAAAATTCATTTCTTGGCTCTGTCTGCCAGGCCCCTAAGATTACCACACTAATGAATCCATTAACTAATCAGTTCAAATTTAGGAAGGCAGACTAAACATACTTGGGGTACGCACAGAAAAGAGTATCTGCCTCCGAGCCCTATTCTGCAGAGGCTGCAGAAAGACTCATCACCTGCTTCACTCACCTCTAACCACTCCTGAGTAAGGCTTCTGGGTGAGCTCTCTAGGGTCTAAGAAAGTTTGGTATATGCCTTGTCTGTCAAAATGGAGCTCACAACATGCACGAGACTCTGATACCTTCAGGTCATAAGAAACCTTACTCTTTGGTCAGGGCAGGCTGAGGATAGCCACACAACAGGAAGTCAGTGGCAGAGAAAGGAAGTTAGGCCAGAGTCCTACTTCCGGACCCAATCAAGGCAGCAAGGAGTAGGAGGTCAATCTCAAGCAGAAGTGTCTCTCACACAGCTGCAAATATGGCTCCTCAATCATAATGTAGCTGGGGAGCACCAGCTCAGCTGATACTTTCTCATTCCCTTAGCAGAACCCATCTCCATCTACGCAGGAGGAATTAAAGAAAGGCTTGCACTGCAGGTGAGCACTCATGGCTTAATTAAGGAATCCCAAACTGATTAACAGTTTATACTATATTCAAACTGAAGCTAAAAAAGAAAAGAAATCTGGAACAAAGACATATCTAGAATAAAGAATAAAAGGAGGCCAGGCATGGTGGCTCCCACCTGTAATCCCAACGCTTCGGAAGGCTGAGGTGGGGGGATGGCTTGAGTCTAGGAGTTTGAGACCAACCTGGGCAACAAGGCAAGACCTATATATCTACATTAAAAAAAAAAATTAGCTGGGCATAATAACAGGCCAGTAGTCCCATCTTCTCAAGAAGACGAGATGGGATGATCACTTGAGTCCAGGAGTTTGAGGCTACAGTGAGCTATGATTGACCCCTGCATTCCAATCTGGGCAACAGAGCAAGACTCCATCTAAAAAAAATAATAATGTACACTTAAACTCTATTTTTAAAAACTGCCCATAGTACTATGAATAAAGTCTAAAATGTTTAGCAAAGTCTAGAATAATTTTGATTACAATTTATTGATATCTGCATTAAAAACAAAAACAAAATATAATCATGGAGCTATCAAATGCTATATTTAAAAATATTTAGTGATAATCACTCATAAACACATATTGAAATGAGGGAATGAAGATGATGGTTCTCCAAAAAGTACTGTAATGAAAAGCAAGGTGATTAGAACTTGATTGCAAGGAATAAAAGAAACACACACAATAAAGTTTTGTAAAAGATCCATGTTTCTCGTCTAATTTCTGTTTGATTGAGGGTGTCCCATTTGGGGGGTTCTGATTAAGATCAATGATATATAAACAAACTTCAGAATTATCTGAAGAGTTTTTTTGTTTTTTGAGATACAGTCTCTCTCTCACCCAGGTTGGAAAGAAATGGTGCGATCACAGCTCACTGCAGCCTCAACCTCCAGGGGCTCCAGTGATTCCCCAGCTCAGCTTCCTGAGTAGCTGGGACTACAGGCCCACACCACCATGCCTGGCTCATCTTTTTGTACCTTTTGTAGAGACAGAGTCTTCATTTCATTGCTCAGGCTGGACTCCAACTCCTGGACTCAACTGAACCTCCCGCCTTGGCCCCCCAAGGTGCTGGGATCACAGGCATAAGCCACTGCACTCGGCCAAGTTTCTCTCTTTTGCGCAATTCTAAGTTAATAAATCTAAGTTATGGGGCTCCAGAGGAGAAAGAAGGATTTAAAACAAATACCTGTTCCCTGTTTCTTTTTCAGGAGAGATGCACAGGCAGCATTGGTAGCCATGTCGAAGGCCAGCTTCTTCTCATTGTTTCTTAAGTCTGTTCTAGCACCTTCCCAACACAAGAAAAGTCAATTAGGTATCTTTAAAGACTATATAGTAGCAGCGAATTCTCTCTCCCTATGACTAACCACTTTTGGTAAAACAAACTAGAGAACAACTCTGGCCCAGAAGTAAACGTTCTCAAAACAATAAAACTGTCATACAGTATATCTGGCATCTTTAATCAGGAAGCTTGTTGCTGCACCTGTGATAATAATTCAGAGTCTTTGCCTTCGAGTCCCTATAGAACTGCAAGTGAACTTTTCAGTCAGGAGTTTACGGTCCCTGTGGAGCTTAACTTCAATAAGCCCTTTGCCTCCTCTTTTGCTCAAGAGGGTCTTTAGAAAAGACCAAGTGGGTAGTGCTTGAGGGGATTAATATTTTATATCTGTAAGTATGCTCTCATGCAAATTAGCAGAATAGCAACACATAAAACCGAGAGGTAATACATTGTTCCCATAAGCCATCTTCTATCCAGTTTTCCTTTGCCTTTATTATGTTAAAAATTACATCAGAATTCATGAATACATTTGCATTGTTAAGGATTCAAAAATACAAATGTATGCTGACCAAAAGCACAAGTCCCATTTCATTCCCTCATCTTCTACCCACTGCAAAGGTAACCATTCTTAACAAGTGGGCGTGAGTTCTTATCTCCCTTATTTGCATCAGTGCATTCATACACATATGGATATAGACACAAAATCATCCCACACATATTGGCCTGTAATTTCATGTTTTTAAAAGTTAATGTCTAACGGTGCTGTTTTCTTAGCAATACACATATTCGTAACTCAACCTATTTAAATGTTTGTAAGTATTCCATTTTGTGGATGCTCCAAAATGTACTTCCCCCTGTATTGATGGGCACTCAGGCTAGTCCTGATTTTCATTATCATAAATACTCCAGTGACTATCCTTGAACATCTTTGCTCGTGTGTACTTCTGAAAAATGGTTTACTAAAAGTGGTATTGGAAAGTAAGGCTAAGTCCATTTTAAATTCTGCCAGCTATCGTCAGATTACTTTTCATACTAGTCTCTAAAGATCCTCTGAATTTCTGTGGTATCAGCTGTAATATCTCCTTTTTCATCTCTGATTTTAAGATTCCTTTCCAAGAGGCTTTAGGCCAAGCATGGTGGCTCACACCCATAATCCCAGCACTTTGGGAAGCCAAGGCAGGCGGATCATTTGAGGTCAGGAGTTCAAGACTAGCCTGGCCAACATGGTGAGACCCCATCTCTACTAAAAATACAAAAATTAGCCAGGTGTGATGGCAGGTGCCTGTAATCCCAGCTACTTGGGAGGCTGAGGCATGAGAATTGCTTGAACCCAGGAGGCGGACATTGGAGTGAGCCAAGATTGCACCACTGTACTCTAGCCTGGGGAACAGAGCAAGACTCACCCTAAAAAAATAAATAAATAAATAAAACAAAAAAACAAGAATGCTTTATCAACTCATACTTTCTGACACAGTGTAGGAAAGTGTCATTTTCTTTGCAACCACTTCCCCTTCAATAAACAAAAAATAGGCAGGCACAGTAGTTCATCATGCCTGTAAGCCCAGCAGTTTGGGAGGCTGAGGCAGGCAGATTGCTATGTACAGGAGATCAAGACCAGCCTGGGTGACATGGCAAAACTCCATCTCTATAAAAATTAACCATGTGTGGTGGTATACACTTGTAATTTCAGCTACTCAGGGGGCTGAGATGGGAGAATTACTTCAGCCCAGGAGGCAGAGGTTGCAGTGAGCTCATATTGGTCCACTTGCACTCCAGTCTGGGCAATAGAGTGAGACCCAGTTTCAAAAATAAGAAAAAGAAAAAGAAAAGATGTGTACCCAAATTTGAAGGCACAGAAATACTGCATCAGGAAAAAAATAGTATGTTTAATTAGTAATATAATGATCTTGTGTCAAAATCTTTCTCCTAAGCAGATTGCTGTATTCACAGTAGGGTTATATAAAAAACCTAATTCTCTCAGTATGCTACAGGTCGAAAACTCCTGAGGATTAACAATTCTGTGACTAATCATATATTATACTATACTTTAGAGCTTATAGACATGATTTCTATCAGAACAGGAAATATTCAGAGACAGTGATGACAGAGAAGAAACACAACCATTTCCTGGGTCCCTCTAGACAAACACTAATAGGACTATAATGTGAGCCATATATCTAATTTTTAATTTTCTAGTAGCCAATTTGCAAAATGTGAAGTTAATTTTAATTATATATTTAATCCAGTATATCTGAAATGTTATTTCAACATAAAGCCAACATAAAAATTATTGTGATATTTTACTTTTTGTTTCACTAAATCTTTGAAATCTGGTATGCATTTTACACTTAAAGCAGATCTCAATTCAGATTGCCCCATTTAAACGGTTCAGCTGTGCACGTAGCTAGTTGCTGCCATACTGAACATCGAAGCCCTCAGCATACCCTTTACAGGGCACTAGAGTGATCATCACAGTGTATGGCCTTTTAGACCTGGTCGTTACATCACCAGACTTAAAATCTAAACCATTTCCTATCATAGATCCCACAATATTGCTCTGCGGATCCCTAATGAAGCTAATTCCGTGAGTTGTGTCTTGGGGAATCAAACATCCTATATGACAGGCTTCTGGACTAGGGTATGGTATGGCTGATCTGCCTGGCCTTCTCTAAGAGGAAACTAGTATTTGTGGGTCAAATGGGTAAAGGGATAGTCAGTGTATAATTTCACTGTTTTCTCTGACATAAAAACAGGGGATCAAGATATCCTCTCTTGTTCACTTTACATCTTACACCTGCTCAACTCAAAACAGGACATTGCAGCCACATCATTCTTGCTCATCAGTCAAGACTCCCCCATGAGAACAAGGGTCTAAGCAACTTTAGCTATACAGCTTTCTCAGACAGGATCTCCCCCCACCACACATACATTCTTTGTTTCTAAGGCTCTATGATCCTGGAGAAACATACAACACAGTTCTTACCAAAAGTAATATATGTAATGTTAAAGCTTGCCATGGTTTTAGTTTATACTAAAAACTAAAACAAACCAACCCCTAATAATTTCATCTTATCATGACTATTCCACGATACACAGACAGAGCAAAGATTAAAACACATTTTGAAATAAGACTATTATTCTTCCTACCATTTCAAATGACATAATTTGATAGATACTATTTTTTAGGGTAAGCAAAGACCAGATAAACTCAACACAAACTTTACCTTTTGCCAGAAGCAACTGGACAATATCTGCATAACCCTTCCAGGCAGCAGCATGCAAAGCTGTATCTCCCAACTTGTTCTATGGTGATAAAAAGAGAAAGTACCATTTTTAAGACAGAGGGTGGATTGAAAGTACATGTTAACTTAGGTTTAATCCAGTTAAACCTAAAATGGGAACAAAGTTAAAGAACCACATAAAATTCCAAAGAGAAAAGGAAAGGAGACTCAAGAGATGGGAGATGAGTCATTTTTGAGAGATGGAATGCGATGGAGGGGTACAAGCTGACTTGGTGAAGCACAGGCTGAAATGCAGATGCCTGCAGAGGGAGATCCCACGAGGAAGCAAGCAGATTTGAACATGTAGAAGCCTAGCGAAAATTAGGAATTGGAGATTACTAGAGGTACTAGAACAGAAACGAGGCATGGGTATGAAAACAGAGGTACAGGTTAAAAGTACTCATAAAAAGTAATTAGAATTTCAGAACCTCTTCCCCTTTTCTTGCTGCCAGATAACCCAACATTACTTGCTGAAAAATTAACCTGATAGTTTCCAAGTTCATCAACACTAGGTACAAGAGAAGGTAGCAAAAGGCCAGCACTAAAAGCTGAGGATTAGGCAAAAAACCTACAAACTGAACAGTAAGACCCCTCTCTCAGGTGCCTTTACATATCCCACTGCCCAGTGTGCACATACCCCCAGGCAGGAGACTGGAGGGCACTTCTCTGGTGAAGCAATGTAGCCCCATGCGCAGGGAAGAGGAGTGTACTTTCATTAGCATTTGGGAGTCACCTAGCAAAATAGCCAGGACCTTACCACATTACCCTGAGGAGAAGCCCACCAGCCAGCAGGACTCACCAAACACACACAGCTTCCAATCACACTTAAAAATAAATGGGTAAGAGCCGGGCATGGTGGCTCACACCTGTAATCCCAGCACTTTGGGAGACGGAGGAGGGTGGATCACCTGAAGCTGGGAATTCAAGACCAATCTGGACAACATGGTGAAACCCCATTTCTACTAAAAATACAAAAATTAGCCTGACCTGGTGGCACAGGCCTGTTAGTCCCAGCTACTTGGGAGGTTGAGGCAGGAGAATAGCATGAACCCAGGAGGCGGAGGTTGCAGTAAGACGAGATTGTGCCACTGCACTCTGGGCAACAGAGCCAGACTCCCTCTCAAATTAAATAAATAAATAAATAAATAAATAAATAAATAATAAATGGATAATGGCACCAAGTATTTGTGGACAGCCTACAATATTTCAGGAAAGACCAACACAAACAAAATAAATGGATCTCAAAGGGAAAAAAACACAGTCAACAGCCAAAAAATACATTTTGAAAAGTTATAGTGTACTAACAAGATGTACGATCATATTGTGTCATGAAACAAGAAAAAGATACTACATAAAAGTAACAATCAGAGTAAAATAAGAGGTTATAACAGACAGAATTCTAAGGTAGCTCCCAAGGTCCCTGCCCCCTGGCGTAGGTCCCCCGTCTAATTCCCTCCTCTTGACTGTGAGTGAAAGCAGTGAATATAATAGGCTATCACTTCTGCAGTTAGGTTTCTAGTCAGCAGATGTTGAATTCATCATAAGAGACATTATCTCAGGTGGACCTGACCTAACCAGGTGAGCCCTTTAACAAAAAAAAAAAAAAAAAAAAAAGATGAAACAGCAACCTCCTTCTGGCCTTGAGGAACAAACAGCCATACTGTGAGCTGTGTATGCAGAGGGGTGGCCTCTAAAAGCCGAGGGCCTCAGTCATACTACAAGAAAATCAATTCTTCCAATAACCTGAATGCACTTGGAAGAAGACCCCAAGCTCCAGATGAGAATCCAGCTCCAGCCAATACCTTGATTTCCACCTGGGAGACCCTGAACAGAGAACCCAGCTATGTCACACCCAGAATTCGGATGTACAGAAAGTATAAGCTGCTAAGCCTGTGGTCATTTGCTAGGCAGCAATAGAAAACTAATACTGGGGAATTAAAAAGATAACCAAAACAAAACAAAGGTGAGAACAGCTCTGGGAAACATTTAGAAAATTGAAGGTTCAATCGAAGAAGTCCAGTATCTTACTAATGGGCATTCCAGAACCAAAAGAACAAAGAAGGGTCAGATAAAAACTCTAAAAGAAATAATACAAGATAATTGTCCAGGCTGAAGGACTTAATCATAATCATTGGGAAACGGTAAATGCTAAGGCACATCATTATAAAATCTTTAAACACCAACAATAAAGTAAATATTCTTAGCAAGAGAAAAAGTAGATCGCACATAAAAGAGTAAGAATCAAAATGGCACCGAATCTCTCAAAAGCTACCCTGGGAACTAGAATGCCACAGAGCCATACCTTCAAAATTCTGAGGGAAACCGTTTTTGACCTAGAATTCTGATCAGCCAAAGAATCAATCCCAGGCTTCTATTTCTCAGGAATCTACTTGAAGATGTTCTCTGACGAAAGACAAAGGATCCAGAAAAATGAAGATACAACATGGCAGAGAATGGAAGGGGTTCCCTGGAGGGCAGGCAGAGGGCCACAGGAACCAAGCTGCTCAGACCGGAGAATGATGGAGAGCATCAGGAAGTATGAGTCCAGGGAGAAAAAAGAAAGCTACTGATTATCTTGAACATTTTAGAAAAGTATTATATATCAAGACTGTATAAAACAATATAGAAGTCACAGTGAGATAACAAGAAATGAGTTTTTAAAAGTCAGTAAGTAAAGAAACAAAAAAAAGTGATATAAGCAGTGAATACTATTTAAACACCCATAATAAAGTAAACACTATGCAGTAATATAACCAGAAACTGTGATGAAGTGCATTGAGGAGCAGAGGTGGAAAGGCTGGGTGCTGGGTGCTGAAAGATGAGGGCGGGGGCAGCTGACAAGCTTAACCCTTCACATACCCAATAGGAGGCCAAAACACACACGAAGATAATGCATGAGGAGATGGCTCCATCAGCCTGTTCCTTAGAAATACAAAGCTAAGTACACGAAGAAAAAACTAAAAGCTAAAAGTGACATATGAGGAGGAGTAGCATTTGGGGCTGTGGACAATTTGAATTTTAGTACAATTATAATTTTAAATTATGTATTTGTGGTATTTCGACAACAATATTTCACATGCCTGTAAGTTGCTTTATTCTAAAGAGAAGCAGGTGTGTGTTAAATGATTTCCAGATAAGCAGTCTTACCTGCTGGTTCAGTTCAATATTTGGTTGGGTAAATAGCATTTCCACTATATCTGAAATTCAAAGAGAAAAGATCCTTTTTAAGAATGAAAATAAAAAACCCAAATCTAGGTACAATAATTTTATAAAAGAGAGATTCTTTAGAAGAACCATCAAGAAAATGTTAACACATTTTGTAAAATTTATAAAATAGAAAAACTTAAGAACCTAAAAAGTGGAATTATTTAGGAAAATATACTTTTTCTAATCGTCTTGGCGTTTGCATTTTCGTATGACACTTCTAGGAATATTTTTACATTCATTATAATACTTTGTATTCATATAATTAACATGTTTATTAGCTGAAATAAGATAGGCTTTTTTTTAGGAGACAGTTACAATTCCTTTGGCACTGATATTTAATTTATTATTGTCGTTGAGTATGTTTCCTGTGTTATAGAGAGGTAGAAAAGCAGCAGGTGATAATATTTTTGGCCAGGATGAAACACATCTAAAAATTCAATTCGTCATCATTATTGATTGTAACAGAGAAAGTATCAATAGAATCACTAACTTAGGCAAATGTTGGCTTTCTTTTTTTTTTTTTTTTTTTTTTGAGATGGAGTTTCGCTCTTGTTACCCAGGCTGGAGTGCAATGGCACGATCTCGGCTCACCGCAACCTCCGCCTCCTGGGTTCAGGCAATTCTCCTGCCTCAGCCTCCTAATTTTTTGTATTTTTAGTAGAGACGGGGTTTCACCACGTTGACCAGGATGGTCTCGATCTCTTGACCTCGTGATCCACCCGCCTCGACCTCCCAAAGTGCTAGGATTACAGGCTTGAGCCACCGCGCTCAGCAGCTTTCTCTTAAATCTCATAGTTTGCATTAAACTTAAAATGTAAATCATAAAAGCAGACCTCATGAAAAGCTAAGCTAGAGGAGCCAATTCTGCTCTTTTTTCTGTAAGATTAGATAGTGGTTTTGGTTTTATACTACTGCTGTTTTCCGGTAACCTTTCTAAGCCTGAGAGAGGAAAGGAAGTGTCCAGGCTTTGGAGAGAGAGGCCCATGCAGTGAGGCTGACTGACTACATTCTACCCACTGTTCTAAGAGCTCCCAGGAACAAGGCTTTTGGCTGCTGTTCTAAAAGATTCAAAAAGAATACCCAATGCTTTTTCTTTCTCATTTTTTTTTTTTTCTGTAAATCTGGCTCCCTTAGGTGAAACACATTTCAGTAGCACAGAAACATGTAACAATCAAAGTGTAATACCTTTGTGACCCCCATGGCAAGCCCAGTATAAGGCAGTGCTTCCGGCTTTGTCTAAGCCATTAACGCCCACTCTGTTGTCCAAACATTCTCTCAACCAGCTCAAGTTGCCTGAAAGAATTTTACATTTATAAAAACACAAGAAAAAAAAAAGGTTTCATTTTTTATTCTGCGTTTAAATCTATTTCATTCTGTTTCATTCTGCATAAAGACCTGCCCATGAATACATTTATTATAGTACATTTTAACTTCCAGCTTATTAATAGAAAGTATTAACAACAATGTTTTTAATGATAGCTTAATGGGAAGAGTTCCCTACATGGGTATACTTAAGATATTTCTATTTTGTTACTCTGTGTGTGTGTGTGTGTGTGTGTGTGTGTGTGTGTGTACACATACTTACATATTATTTTTTCTTTGTGAAATTCTGGAAATTGGGAGCAAGCAGATCCTATTCATATTCCTATTTACAACGCATCTTCAGTTCTTATAAGAAAGGCTAAACAACCTACTCAAAGCTACTGCTCTTGTATGCTAAACTAAGTTCCTCAGGCTAATATCCCAAATGTCAGTTTAGTAGTTTTACTTTTTCACAATCCTAACCAATAATTTCCTTGTGTACATTCAGATTTCAAAAAAAAACCTAAAAATGGAATGAAATAGAGCTCATTGAGGCTTTACTAAAACTCCCCATTATCTACAGCAGGGTCTCTCAGCATCGGCCCTACTGGCATTTGGGGTTGATTTATTGTGGGAGTGCTCCTGTGTGCTGTAGGATGTGTAGCAACAACCACTGCCTCTCCCCAAAAGGTGCCAGTAACATCCCTCCAGTCATGACAGTTAACACGTCACCAGATATTGCCAAATATCCTCAGGGTTTGTGAAAGAGGAATCACCCTAGGTGAGGACTACTGATCCACAGAACAAAGCCCAAGACCAGGCTCATCGTTGTTTGGCCAACGATCTTCCCCAGGTTCATCCCTATTGTTTATGCCCTCCCTGGCTAAATGCTCACCGCACCAACGCTCTCCTAAACGCTGTACCCACCAGGCCTTTCCGTTCTCTGCCAGTTACTCACCTGGCCCCTATGGCCCGTAAAATACATTTCAACTGCTGTACTTATCGTATCATATTTTATGATCTCTCTTTCCGCTGCCAGATATTGAGCTTTGGAAGTCACAGACTTTGACTTGCTTCTTCTCCCTTCAAAAGTATTTTTTGACTGACATTTTAAAATTAAAATCACACTTCTCTAGTGTCATAGATGTTGGGACCGACCATCTCTGGGGAAAGCAGAAATTTAACTGAGAAGGTGCAAAGGGAACTTTCTGGGATGACAGAATGTTCTAGATCTTGATGCATTTGTCAAAACTAATTGAAATCCGTGCATTTTACTGTACTGCATACCTCAATCAAAAAGAATCACACCTACCTCTTTTTGCTGCTTCATGCAATGGATTGTCAATGGATTCTGCCTGCTCAGCCACTAGGTTGAAAATAAAAAGCGTTAACCCAATGTTGAATTGCCACACAAATGATTCACTGAAGCCACTCACTCACTACAGTCCCCAGCTTCAGGAATACCAGGGCCTTCAATACAGTTTCCTTTATTTAACACGGATAAAAAGTAACAGAAAATCAAATAGATAGTTCTTGAATTAAATGAAGCTGAATTACGTGTTAAGGGAAACCAAGCCAAGCAATAAGGCAGTAACACAGTAATTAACTGGAAGTATAAACAAAAAGAAACACAACTGCATACCTGAGTTAAATGCATACTTGATATCACTCAAGTATTTAATAAACAGTCACAATAATGCAAAAGAAAGCTTTTGATGTTCATTTTCACATTTTGTAGATCACTCTGCTTTAAAAATGCCTGAAAATAATTCTGATTCCCTTGTGTGTATTTATGTAGGAGCAGATGGGGTGGGGGGAACATTTTGCTTCCTGTATTCAGAAAGAACAATCAGCATAGCTACCTGCATCTTAGAGATGTGTTCCCTGTTGTCCTAGAATCAGTAGAAAGTGTTACTAGGAAATGGAAGAAAAAGGATTAAAATTCAGGAGCCTTGTTTATCAATTCTGTGCTCTTTTGACTTTACTCTGCTGACATCTAAATAAGTGTTTTATCTGTTTTCCCACTTCCAGCTAGAAGCAGCTTCATGGCAGGAGCCGTGTCTCTCATTGCTCAAGCTCCCCAAACTGTCAATGATAAGCATTTAATGAACATCACTGCCCTGAACATGAATTAACAAGGTCGTGTTACTTCATCACAAAACAAAGGGCTAGTCTAAGAAATGATCTGCAAGATCGAGTTAATCAGCATTAAAAAAAAATTGTTTTAAGAGTAGAAGAAAGTAAAACCGTAACCGTTTCCTTGGAAATGTTGGGTTCTTTCAAGAATGCTATAAACATTCTCTCAGGCCAAAGAGTCCGTCTCAAGCACACCTGGAGTTCATGGCCAGTTTATTAACAGGAGGCTCATGGAACGGAAAAATTCCTAGGCTGACAAGGACTTCATTGCATTCTCATTCACAGTGGCAAGGAGAAAAGCCTCAAGAACCAAAACATGCCAAGTGAAAGTAAAACCACTCAGCAACACTTACCATAGTTGCTTGGAATTAGTCCAGTCCTGCCTTTGGAGGTGCCTTTCCACCAATTGGTATCGCTCTGGTAAAAGAAAAGTTAAATTAAGTGGTATTAAATCCAGACGGCATTCATTCACTTTGCAAATTATTTGGCTCCTAGGGAGTACCTGTTCTACAAAATGTCTGCCAGCCCTACCGATACAGTACTATCAAGCTGCCTCATACCCTAACTGTGGGCATCCATCTCCCTTGCCACTAAATTACAAATAAACATGCTTCCGCCTGCAACAAATGGAATACGCTTCATCACAGATTCTCAACAACCAAACAAATCCGAAATAATAGGAAACAGATGGAAAAAAGTTACACTACTTTCAACTAGCTATATGATTTTGTGTCCAGAATTTCATTTCTCTTAGCTTTGAGATAATTTTTTATGGGGGGGAGGAAGTTCTAAAGATCTCTTTATATTATCTTCATTTTGGGGGTAACTTTTTATTATAGAAAAAATTTAAACCTATAAAAAAGCAGAGAGAACAATGTAATGACCTTATATATATACCAGTTTCCCAAGTGCACAAATCATTTATTAATGGCCAATATTATTTCATATATCCCCCCACAACCACCCTCCCCTCCTAGATTATTTTGAAATAAATTCTAGACATATTATTTCATCTGTAAACATTTCAGTATGTATCTCTGAAAGACATATACTTTTTGAAAGACAATTATGCCATTATCACAGCTTAAAAGTTTTTTTCCAACAATAATTCCTTAATATCAAATATCTAAGTCAATACTCAAATTTCCCAACAGCCCCATAATTTGGGATTCAAATAAGGGCTATACAATATGATTGATTTGTCTTTTAAGTATCTTTTAATCTATAGCTTCTCTCTCCACTCTTTTTTATCTCTTACAATAGATTTGTTGAAGAAACGAGTTGGTTTGTTCTGTAGTTGAAACTTCTTTGGATTTTGCATGTTGCAGCCCTGTGTTATCGTTAAACATGTTCCTCTGTTTCCTGTATTGCCTGTAAGTTGGTCATTAGTTCTAGAGGTTTAATTAGATTCAGCTTCAATTTTAGGGGGCAAAGCTATTTCCTAGGCAGTATGGGTTTCTTCCATTGGGAAACACATATTGTCTAGTCAGCTTCTTTTTGCAATGTTAGCACCCCTTGATGATCACTGTCTAGATCCACTATTTCCTAGGGGCTGCAAGACGGTGGCATTCTAATTCTATTATTCCTTCTTCGTTGAAATAACCTGAATACCTCTTTAAACAAAAACTTTCCCTCATCAACTCTCAGGTTGCCCGGATAAGAAATTCATAAAGAAAATACAATAAATCGTGATTATTTCCCTTAACAGTTGTCAGAATAAAAACTTGGTTTCCTAGCATTCTCTCATGCTGACCAATGAGATATGTTCAGAAGTAACATTAGAAACTCATAAATTTAAATGTATTTAATGTGTTTCAATTATTGGAAGTTGTTACTCTAATTATGATGCTCAAATTGTCCTATCTTTGGCCAATGGGAATCTCTTCAAGTTAATTCCCAAGTCCTTTCAACGTGACTCTACTGTCTTTGGGAACTTCCTTGTTTTCTAGTAAGAGGATGTTCTGGGTTTATCTTGTACCTCTGCTGCCCCTGACTTGGTACCAGCCATTTCTCAAAGAAGCCTATTCATTTCAGTGAAAAATAACATATTGTTATTGGGTTGGACATTTTTCCTAGGCCTTTTCAAATAACACAGCGGGGAATATTTTTGTTTTATTTTAGATAAAAAAAATACAACGTGATCATTCCAATTCAGATGAAGGAATACAGAGTTTTTCTTAAACTGTCATTAATCTTACATCTGTGTATCCTTTCTGCCATGCTGAAAATCCGTTAGCAACATCACTGACCTAATGACTCATTTGCTCTAAACCACAATACACGTGCAACAATCTCAGAATTCGCATTACCAACATTGCCCTAACAAGAGCATGACTTAAAACAATTTGCTTTTTTTGGCCAGTTATTTTTGTCCTTCATATATATTTTTTTTCATATGTATCTATGTCCTTCATATATATCCACCTTCTACTATGGATGTTCAGTCAAATTGCTGAGTTTTAAACTTGAAATATTTCCCCTTTGTGTGGTTATGCCAATTACTAGGGTAAAATTAAGTTCATTTGATTCATTCTGCTTTTAATTTTTAGGGATTGCTTTTTACTTCAATTTTTACCTATGTCAAGGTTATATCAGTTCAAAGTCAAATTCACAAAACAAATATACTTTTCTAAAAAGTTTATCTTCCATCCATGTTCATTCCACTCTATTTCCCTCCCTCTACCTAGAGAAAGGATCTTTACTCTTCATAGAATAAAACTAAATTTTACTTCATAAGTCATCAGATATATGTGTGTGTTTGTGTGTGTGTGTGTGTGCGTGGGTGTGTACACTCTCACCCTTCAGAAGAGTGAGGATACATTTTTACACTTTGGTTTTCTTTTAACTTAAATTACTTCATAATAGCATATAGAGATGTTCCCCATTTCTTTCTATAGCTGCATAATACTTCATTTGTGGACAGATCAAAGCTTAATCAACTCTTTTCCTATTGATGGAAATAAGGGCTATTTTCAATCTTATGATACTATCAATTGTGCTAAAATGAACAGACTTGTACATACGTATTTTTATGTAAATATACATTTAAATAACTTACAGTGTTATAGCTACAGTCTTAGAAATCTTTCGTTTATATGTGGTATTACAAGATGTCATCTGGGCTTACCATGTCAGTAATGTAGATAATATCACCTTCCTCAAAGTATAATTCATCTGGCTAGAAGAAAAAAAAAAGTTTGACTCCATGTGATTTTTTATGAATTAGAATATAATGATTTAAATACATAGATTCAAAAATTCTATCATATTCTAATAAACAATGTGGTTTTTATACACTTAAATAAGCACATAAGCCATATAACTAAACACTACTGAAAAATTAATACATGAATAGATGGCTGAATTTTTTTCCCATGAACTTCAAAGAAGTACACATATAAATTCTCCACACACATCTTATACTCTTCTACAACCAAAGCAAGACATTTGTATATCAAAATAGAATACTAATAAAACTTCCTTGCAGAAATTCCAAAAGATGATATATATGTTTTCATAAAAAGATAAATGTCTAGAATTAAAACCACAAAAAAAAGCCAGAAGCTTGGTTTTTTCTTAAACAAGGCCTCAGCCTTTGAACACTTTAATATCAACATCTGCTATCCACTTATTTTAAGAAAATCATTATCCTAGCTCTTAATGTTCAGAGAGAATGAACATTTTCTGTATGAGAAAAATTAATATGTAATTCAACCATTAATCAGTCTAAAGAGCTAAAAGATATGAATCAGTAACTCAGCCAGTCCAGAAACCCCAAGCAGCTCTGAGGGGTTGGCTAATTACACACACCATATGTGCTCTGGCCTGTACCAACCAAATGTTCTAAAAACTTTATGAATAAAGATACACATGTTAAACATCTTTTCCCCATCAGTTGATAACACCATGACTTTATAAGTAAGTAGGGTGATGCCTACTGAGAGCAAATTTCAGATATTGGGAAATGTTTACAATATCATGGTAGATGAAAAATGTAGGGAAAATTTCACATGTGATAAGAACACAATTTGCATGAAATATACATAGAAAAATTTCCAGATTCTCTGTCATGACCATGTGTTTCTTTCATAGTTTTGGTGGGAAAAATACTGTTAAAAGAAAGGCTTTGATATTTCTAACTATAATTACTATTCCATACAAATTAAAATTATGCTAACGAAATAAGTTAATTTCATCCAGCCAGGGGTGGTGGCTCGTGCCTGTAATTCCAGAACTTTGGGAGGCCAAGGTGGGCAGATCACTTGAGGACAGGAGTTCAAGACCAGCCTGGCCAACATGGTGAAACCCCGCCTCTACTAAAAACACACACACAAAATTTTCCAGGCATGGTGGTGCACACTCACAATCCCAGCTACCCAGGAGGCTGAGACATAAGAATCGCTTGAACCTGGGAGGCAGAGGTTGCAGTGAGCTGAAATCGCACTGCTACATTCCAGCCACCCGAGTGAGAGAGAGAAACTCTGTCTCAAAAAAAATTGTTAATAAATAAAATTAAAAATAAAATAAATATCTTATCCACTCAATTTTTCTATTCGTTGATGTCCTTTCAGTAGCAGACCAGGACAGTAAATATGATTCTGCACTAGTAATTTATTTAGTTGTGAAGCTGATCTACACTCTTATTATAACTATTTCTCCACGAATCTAAATGAAGACTATAATAGCCATAACATCCTTTAAGCAACCATAATACATGAATATTTAGATGCATTATGCATTCAAATCTAAAAATTAGCAAATGATAATTAGTGCTGCCCCCAAATGGCTTAGTCCTTTAAAAGGTAACGTCCTAAAACACGTATTACATTTATACTTTGATTTGCACAGAGTAGTCTTACACATAGCACAAACTACGGAAAATTAGCTGTATGTACTAGATCTTGTGACATACATTTTGATATCATCTTATTTTTATTTTTGTTGCTTGAATTAGGGAGCAAAAAGAAATTAATGACCACTAATATTCTCTGAAATCTATCTCTAATATGTTCTGATGATCAATGACCAATATCACTACCAATATGTAACAGATATGAAAAGTGACTAGGTAAACAAACTATTTTCTTTAGTATTTATTTGATGCAAACTGGATCACTCCCAGAGAAGCCAGAAAGAGGATTCTCTCACCACTACAGCATCCCAGCAGGACTCAGCAGCCACCCTCAACTAACATTAAGGTTGGCCTTTGCTGGCAATTTTAACATCATCTAACTCTCTCTCTTTTAGATGGTGCTAGGGCCTTAGAGGGAAGGAATAAGGAAGAAGGGTATAAGGAAAACAGGATATATGGGCTGCAACATTTTCCTGCAGTGACTTTTCATTTCCCGGAATCTGAAAGAGTTCAATTGCTTGAAGAGGTCTGTCCCATCTTTGAGCTGTCCTGGGCTATTCTTACTGAGTATATCTCCTAAAGTTAATCTCACTCAGTTATGTCTTACAATAAATCCTCCTCAATCAGTACTCTCAGGAAGTTAAGAGGTCATCTTTCCCTACAGTTTTACCTTCCTTTTAAAATCAGGAAAGTCAAATCTCCCTAAATTTCCACATTTAATACTATCACTCACTCTTCAAACAAACAAACAAACAAATAAACACATTATGAAAAAGTACCAAACAAATAGCTTTTAAAAACAAAGCTCACACATAAAACTATGGTAATGAGTCTTTCTTATCAAAACAAGCAATGAAGTCAGGGGGAATAGGGAGTAACTGTTTAATGGGTACAGGGTTAATTTACGGGATGATGAAAATGTTTTAGAACTAGACAGAGGTAATGAATTGTGAATGTACTAAACACCACTGAATGATACACTTTAAAATGGTTAGTTTTGAAATAAGCCAGGACCAAAAAGACAAACATCACATGTTCTCACTTATTTGTGAGATCTAAAAATCAAAACAATTGAACTCATGAGCATAGAGAATAGAAGTATGGCTACCAGAGGCTGGGAAGGGTAATGGGCAAACTTGGGGAAAGATGGGGATGGTCAATGTGTACAAAAAGATATTTAGACAGAAATAAGACCTATTATTTCATAGCATATCAGGCTAGTCAATAATAATCATATGTTTTAAAATAACTAAAAGAGTATAATTGGATTGTTTGTAACACAAAGGACGAATGCTTAAGGGGATGGATACTTAGTATTCCATGATGTGATTATTCCACATTGCATGCCTGTATCAAAACATCTCATGTGCCCCATAAACATATACATCTAGGTACTCACAGAAATTAAAAATTTTACAAAATGGTTAATTTTGTTATGTGAATTTTACCTCAATTTTTTTAAAAATGTGATAAAGCCCAAAATAGTTAAAACTCTTAATGTCTTTTAAGTAATTCTTCTCCTCTGTGGTTTGGTAAAGTGCATCATCTGAGAAAGACCACTCAGTGCAGTCACTTCGATACCTCTCAGTGCTATTTCAGTTTTTGAATTAATGGTTGTCGTTCAATAGTGGTGTCTGCCACAAGCCACTCATTAGATCAGACTTGTTTTTCAACTGTGGCAACGAGAACAGGCAGTCCATTTCAGTCCGGCAAAAAGTGACCTCATTTTTTCATCCTAAGAAATTACAGTAGACATTTATTCTTTTACTCCATAGCTCCCAGACACAGAAAGCCACTACTCATAAAATGTCTTCTTCTAAACAAACTAGGGACAGGTTTTCCTAATCTAGCTAAGTGGGTAGTCTACCAAATTCTTCACCGTATTGGTGACAGTACAAACAACAAGGTAATTTCATGATTTTAAGAACAGATTTCACCGGCAACATTCACATTTTCCATTAAGAAATCACTAGGCGGATACCTGATGTAAATTGTTCAATGAGCATGTACTTTTAAATTCCCAGTATCATATTTAGGGAACAGAAATGGGAAAACAGTAACATAATGAAGTATGCACTGCTCTATTTCCAGATTGTGCTTTGGTTTTTAACTGCATTCCTCCTTTCCTCTCTCCTTGAAGAACAAAGTATCAGAATAAGTAAGCTGTTGTTCACTGGGATGTTATAGCAAAGAGTAACCACTTGGTAACATATATTCCTATTCCCATTCCCATTCCATGTATTCTTGGTAACATGCAATTCCCAAGGCATTAATTTTGTTGGTTTATGTAAATATATATTTTATGAAAAGTTTAGAAAAACTGATATACTTCTGAAATTTCTGTGATTTGTCTGTCTGAAGCCCCCAAAATTAATAAAAAGAGAAAACAAATTCTCCACGGATGTTTTCATTTAACACTTTATAGTATGTATTATGTGCCATGTACTGTTCTGGGCATTTAGAAATATTAACTAATTTGTTCCTCACCAAGAACATTATGAAGTGGGTGCTATTCTTATCATCATGTTATAGACGAGAAACCTGTCCAAGGCCACAGAACAGGTACATGGTAGAACCTGGACTTGAACTGTAAGTCAGATTAGAGAGTCCCTGCCACCACGTATGCTTTCTCTCATGCAAAAGCATCATGCATAGCCATTATTGGCCATGATGGTGTCATGATCAGGTTAAAAGCTGGTCACCTTGGAAAATATTTGTCTCTATCCACCCCCAAGTCCCCCACCCCCATAGTGCAGTACAACAAAACCAATGGCAGCATATTTTACTTGCAAAGTATACTTGACCTCATTTGGTCCTCACAACTCACTAGGCTTGGCTGGGTCATGGATATAATCTGGATTTCATGACCAGGCTTAGAGAAGTTAAAGAGTATGCTGCAAATCAGAGGGAGTGGCAGAGCTGGGCTCCTACCTCAGCTCTTAGATTCCCACTCTCCTTCCCCTACACATGGCCCTATTAACCTAGTACAGCCCAGCAAACTTCACATGACAGAGCAGAGTCCTGCTGGTTTCCCTTTAGAAATCGATGTACCTCCAGCACACAGGAAATTCTGTTCTCTCCCCATCAGTCTGTCTTGACACTGGACAATCCAGTCCAGCCAGGTCTGTGGTTGACACTTCATTGAAAGGAGCTGGGTGAGAAGAAAAAACCAAACAGGGCTGGGTGGTGCCAAGACACCCCTGCCTTTAAGCAAGACAGATGAGAAATGGGTTGGCAGGAAGAACTGGGAGCTGCCTAGTGTTCTTCCTATTCAGTGGATCCCAAGACCAGGATTGGGTATTGCTGTCTCCATCTCCTGAGAGTGGGACAGGAGCTTCAAACTGGACCCAGGCCTGCCTGGGGGACTGCCATCGATGTCCCTCAGAGCCCACCTCAGCCTTTCAATACTGCCTGGTCCCAATGACTTCAAGGAGGCCAGGTCAGTCTGGGATGTGCTGTAGTGTATCTGTCCCTCCAGAGATGGCTGCTGGTCAGAGGAAAGAAAGACCAAACAGCTCCCAACAGAAATTCTCTTTCAGAAAAAGCAGGTAAGACCAACCTAGTCCTGGAATGAGATTCAAAATTTAACAAAGGGCATGACATAGGCACTGAACCAGACAGGAAGGCCCTTGAGAGCTAGAGGCTGCCTGCTATGCCAGATGCTACCCCCTTCATACCTGGACTGAAAGGAGCTGAAAAGGGGAGATATTTGGAGGCAGCGGGGCTTGAGGTGGTCATTACTCACGGTAGCCTACAATCCTTGGGACTACAAATATTTAAAAAATGCAACATTTTAAATATAGTGTATTTTTTAAAGCCTAATGAAATAAATGTATATTCGCCTGTATATTCAATAATAACTAAGATTTCTTTTAAAGCAGTAGAGAAACTCCATCTTGGAGAAGAATTGGAAGTAAATAAATCAATATACACCCCCTCAAAAATATCAGTTAAATGTCTATTAATATAATAACCACTATTCCTTAGATAGTAACAATTACTCCTTAATAGTAACAGCAGCTTCACAAAATTAATCTCATTTAATTCTCACTAAAACCCTGTAGGACTATTATTATCCTCAATATATGGATGAGAACACTGTGACAGAGAGGTCTGGTAATTTCCTCAAAGTCACACAGCTGCTCAAGAGGCGGAGCTGGTCCTGAACCCTAGTGCGAGCTCTGACCCCCATGCTGCCCTGGTTCCTCAGACGCCGTGCCCGTGAGCAGGACTGAAATACCAAGTGTGGAAGGTCAGAGGCAGAAGAGGCGGTCCCCGCTGCAGCTGGAGTGGTCAGAGAAGTCTTTACAGAAGAGGGAGTATTTAACGTGAGCTTGGAAGGGACAGAGCCATGGGTCTAGAAAGTGCTGAGCCATAGGTTCTACTGTGAGTCACATCTAGGCGGGATGGTTCAAGAAGGGGAAGGAGCAGAGCACACTGGGTCTGGAGTAGGGGCTGGACGACTTTTCCAGTGAAATAAAAGGTGGAAGCAGGGGGTGGAAGCAAAGTCACCTTTGAGGAACACCCATCTAGTCCAGACTACAGATGGAATGGAGGAGCTAAGCCTGTAGGCGAGAAGTAAGGAAAGGCATAACCAGGTCATGAGGAAGCAAAGGGGAAGGAGGAGGTCGGTGAGAAAGGACAAAGGTGGGGCCAACGATGCACGCGCGTGGGGAAAGAGGAGATAGTCAGGAGTCACCTACGGTCTCAAAACAAAGTAAATTCAGGTCCCATTTTAGGGTCGAGGAGGCAGCGGAGAATGGTCTATTCATTGAGTGTCCCAGGCTGGCATCTGACCACCCACCCGCTCCCCACTCTTATCCCCCTCAGGATCACATAACCAACCAGGACACAACTGACACGGACGAGCAGGGGCAAGAAAGACGGGACTCCCTAAGGGCAGGGTATACAGACACAGCCCTGGGCCTCACACTTCCCCGTTACGGGCTCTCTGTGCCCTCTCGCTACCACAAATTCTTTAGTTAGAGTCCAAACCCCGAGTACAGACGCCCCTGACATACGATGATTCAACTTAACAATTTTTCAACTTTACAACGGGCTTATCAGGGTATTAAGTGCATTTCTGACTTAGGGATTTTTTTTTGTCTTACAATGAGTTTATTGGGTTCATCATCAGCTGAGAATCCGTACTTCCAAATATGACTGTATTTGGAGATAAGGACTTTAAAGAGTTAATTAAGTTAAAACGAGGTCTTCAGGGCGAGCCCTAATCCAATGACTCGCATCTTTGTAAGAGGAGGAGAGGAAAACACAGACATAAGTAGGAAAGACCACGAGAAGACGCAGAGAGAAGTCAGGCATCTACAAGCCAGGGAGCGAGGCCTCAGAAGAAACCAACCCTGCCGACATCTTGATCTCACTTCTAGCTTCCAGAATTGTGAGAAAATCAATTTCCTCTGGTTAAGCCACCCAATCTGTAGACCCTCACCAACACAGGAGAGTAGTCAGTGCAATCTCTTGAAGAATAAAAACCCCACCTTTCTTGTTCCAAAAACATGTCACGTACAAAGTCTTGGGAGAACTGTCTGAATATGCACACCCCATGTTAGTCTATTAGTGGTTACCATATGTTGGCACTCGCCATATGGTTGGCCTTCAATATTCACCCTACTCCATGATCGTGGCAGGGTGCCCCTGCAGAATGGTATTCCCGTTTTCACATGAGGAATCAATGGCCGTGAGGTAAGAAAATTCGCACAGTAAGTAAATGACAGACTTGGGATTTGAACGTAGGCCCTGGCCTGATGGCAGTGACTTGATGTTCAGTGTCACTTGTTCTGTATGACCTTCTGAGTTGCCTCTAACTTTGGGGACAGCAGGGTTGGGGAAAACCCAGATGAAGCTGGCAGCAAGCTGACTGCCCACAGAGCGAAAGCTCTGGTCCCTAGCATATAAGAGAGAAAAGCCAGTGATAGCAGGTTTCCCCTGAATATGGTTTTGCTGTGTCCCCACCTAAATCTCACCTTGAATTGTAGCTCCCATAATCCCCACGTGTGTGGGAGGGACGTGGCGGGAGATAACTGAATCATGGGGGCAGTTTCCCCCATACTGTTGTGGTAGTGAGTCAGTCTCACAAGATGTATCGATTTTATAAGGGGTTTCCACTTCCACTTAGTTCTCATTCTCTCTTGTCTGCTGCCATGTAAGATGTGCCTTTCACCTTCTGCTATGGCTGTGAGGCCTTCCCAGCCATGTGCAACTGTGAGTCCATTAAACCTCTTTTTCCTCTATAAATCACCCAGTCTTGGTATCTTTATCAGCAGTGTGAAAACGAACTAATACACTCCTCCTCCCCAAGAAATCTTGGTTTCCTTCCTTTGCCTCCTGTCTGGCCTCCTTGCTTCACTATCCAGTCACTACTGTATCAAAACCATCCACTCACTTCCAGTCTTACCCAGAGCAAAATCCAAATGAGATCCACAGGCCCTACATGCTCCGCCTTCCAATCCACCCCAACTCTCTGGAGCAGTCTCTCACCACCCTCTCTTGTGTTTGCAACTTTCAAAGGCACGCTGTCTTCCCTGCTTTTTCTATTCTAGCATCCACCAAGGATGCTGTTTGCACTTGCTGCTGCCTCACTTCCTTCAGGTCTCTCCCCAGAGGCCACCTCTCTGGAAAGGCCATCTCTGAACACACTATCAAAGATAGCACTCTTTTCTCCACTAACTTCTTTGCCCCTCACCCTCCTTATTTTTCTCGAGAGTACTTAGCCCCTGACAGTCACATGTATTTGTCTACTTACTGTCTGTCTCTCTCCACCGGGTGCAAGCTCTATGAGACTGTCCTTTCTGTCCTTCTGCACTAGTCCCAAGGCCTGGACCAGTATCTGGCATATAATAGGCACTTAATAAACCACAGATAAATGGATGGATACCAGAAACTATAATAATGGAAAATGCACACTGCAGAGAAATAAACAATTGTTCTAGAAGGTTAGCAGTAGGTACCATTATGAGCTATTTTGAGGTAGAGGGTCAAGGGGAGAATGCAGGAAGGTTTGCATGGATTCGGAAGAAGGATGACCAAGACAAGGTTGCTGTGCTTCACATGCGAGTCACTTGTCAATCTGAAAGCAGCTGGTGTCACCATTGGGAAGAAGCTTTACAGGATGGACATGACTTCAAGAGGAAGAAGACATGCAAATCAGCCTGGGGCTTAACTTAGAACAGCTCCGGACCCAATATCTATCCCTGAGAATTACCTAGGTTTATCAAAGAAAAGGCAAACCATTCATACCAGAGGAAGTGTCTAAATGAAATCATCTTAGATTTTTCTGTCAATTTTAAGGTAAAAAAACTGAATACTTACAGTTCTGGGTTCAAACGTATACAGCGCTCTGAAGACTTTAACTTGCCCTAAAAAAAGGAAGCAAAAACAACTGAACTTTTCATTCCTGAATTTGCTTTTAATAATAGCATTATCCACTATGTCCTTCAGAATTCTCTAACTAAAAACCCATATGATTAAGTCGAGCAGAGGATACTAGAGGCTGGAAAGGGAAGAGAGAAGGGAAGGATAGGGAGAGATTTGCTAAAGGATACAAAATCACACCTCGGTAGGAGAAATAAGTTTCAGTGTTCTATACCACCGTAAGATGGCCACAGTTAACAATTATTATACAGTTCAAACAGCTAGCAAGAAGATATTAAATTTCCCAAAACAAATAAATAAGAAATGTTCAAGATGACGAATATGCTAATTACCGTGATCTGATCACTACGCATTATATGTACCAAAACATCACTATGTAACCCATGAATATATACAATTATCTGTCAATTAAAAAATAAACTTTAATCCCCAAAAGAAACACCTTCTGTGAACGGCCTCGACACATCAGCCCAGTGCTACAGCCCGTTTATGATGCAGGCTGCCGCCAAGGCAGGCCTCCCGTTGTCAAAGTGCCAGCCAAAAGCATACTCAAGGACTCTGACGGCACTGGAGCCTGGTTGCTCCCTGAGGCCATCATGAACCCCCCATTGGCACCCTATGCTACTGTGACACCCAGCACTTTAGCCCACCACCAGGCCCAGGCTCTGGCCCGCCAGCAGGCCCTGCAGCATGCACAGACCCTGGCCCATGCTCCTCCCCAGATGCTGCAGCACTCTCAGAGTATCCCACCATCCCAGGTACAGTCCCACCCTCAGAGCCTCCAGCAGCCTCAGGGCCTGGGCCACCCTCAGCCCATGGCCGAAACCCAGGGCTTCGTCCACCCTCAGGCCCTGGCTCACCAGTGTCTCCAGCACCCCTACAATCCCTTGCTGCATGGAGGCCAGAAGATGCCAGACTCAGATGACCCCGCCGAATGTGACCATGTCTACCTCAACCATCCTCCTTTCAAGGGCGGCCACCCTGCAGCACAGCTAGCCCCTGGTCCTGAGTAGCATCATGCACCCAATCAACCAGTTTTGCCAGACAAGGGCCGGTGTCAGCACTACCTCAGTGTGTGAGGGCCAGATCACTAACCCCAGCCCCATTAGTCACAGTATGCTTATCAGTGCAAGCACCCGGGTGTCAACCCACAGCGTCCCCACACCAATGCCTTCATGTGTGGTCAACGGAGCACACCCATGTGGCCACCGCCTCGTTGCCTGCTGCAGGTCCTGTTAATCTGCCTGCAGGCATCTCTCGCGCCCCCACTGGCTACCCTAGCAACCTCAAGCTAGTTACCTGGAACCAGTACTAGCTGGCCACCTACACCAGATGTGCAGTGAGGCTGGTGGTATGCTAGCCCCTGGCCTGACAGGCAAGCATGTGGGAGGATGCGAGTTGGCAGGGCCTGGTTTTGTGGGCAAGGCCCCTGCCTACCTGCAAGAACTCTGCCTGGCACAGTCCTTCCATCTGAAGCCATTCCTGGAAAAATCAACCCCATCCCCACCAGTCAACAGCCTGGCAACCCCACCAGCCTACCCAGTGGTCACTACTTCCAACCTCTGTGGAACAACATTCTGCCCACTCCCAATAGCGACAGCTCGGGGCCTCAGGACCTTGCCATGCCATTCCACGGTGGGCAGCCCACAGGTGTACCCCTCAACTGTGCGGCAGCTCCTGGGGCCCACTACCAAGCAGGGACCTGGGCAGTCCAGTGGCAAGCCAGAACAGCTTGATGCAAAGTTGATTACCTAAGTGGGGATTTCCAACAGGCCTGCTTCCAAGAACACAGCCTGGCCATCCTAAGCAAGGCCCACCGAGCCCTGGCAACCGAGCCCTGGCAACCGAGCCCCCGATCCCACAGATAGTCTAAGTCTTCCTATTCAGCACCAGGGTATAGATAGGTAGCCCTGGTGCCCTCCACATGCAACCCATCATATGTCACCCACCTAGGTTTAGCCTTTTCAATAACTGGATAGTTTCAAAGTTTCACCACTCCAATGTGATGATTCTCAGATGTCTAAGAAAGGGAATTTTGTGGGATCTAACTGGGGGTAGACGGGGTCTTCTCATCCTCCCCTCCAGCAACTTTTGGTTTTATGTTGCAACCTAAGCCCGAGCCCAGGCTTTTTTCTCCACTGACTGCCTGTCAGTTAGTCTCTCCACCGTGGCCATTTCCAGCCAGCTCTCACCCATCTTGTTTTGAACCTCTGCCTGTTTCTCTTAGGACAACTGAGGTGTGGGCGGAGGGAATGCCCTAGTTGAGAGAGCATGGGTGCTCAGGCCCCTAAGCCGGGCCTCTGCCTGTTGCTGTCCCTGTCCCCCTCCACCCAGGACTAAGAAGCAAGATTTCCCAAGTGCTCTGGAAGCTAATTCCTTATTCACCCAAAGATCTCAAATCAAAGCTGACCTAGTCTTCATACCTTTCCAGTTCCTTTCCATTCCTCAAGGCTTTGTTTTGTGTCTACACTGATCCCACAGCCACTGCACTGGCCCTCGCCACACTTGACCTTAAGGGCATCTTGCAGGTATTTGACCATTTCTTGAGATACGGGGGGGAAAAAAATCTTTGTATTGGCATCTTGGTTCCAGACTCCCCTTTCCAAACCCAGAAAAACACAGTGACTTTTTGGCATACCCAAGATCCCTTTCTCACTGTTGCCTGTCCCCTAACTCACCTGCTGCCCACAGCCCCTATCCTTTCCCCCTCAACAAAACAAAACAAACAAAATCTACCTTACTTGAGGAATTAGGCACGTGGAATTATCATTTGGAGTTTGGGATTAAACATCAAAAAAAAAATGCATTTGGTTCTCTCTACACTGGCTAAGAATATTGCTCTACACTGTTTAAGTTTTAAATGTTACGTTTCTGTATGAATGCAGTGTGGGTTTGAATAGCATTGTGTGTGAGTGGCCCCACAGGTAAATTTACTCTCTAGTGTAGCCCCTCAGTTTAAGGAAGAAAAAAAAAAAAAAAAGCCTTAAGCTCTTTGAATACTTCCTTTATCAAATGAACATGGTTCTAACACCTGAAAAAGAGCCTGCATTGGAAACAGCCCCTCCTGCCCTGTCCATTCTTAGAGCATACCCTTATCCACTCCCTGCTCAGCGTGTCTCATCTCCAAGGACAATTAGTTGGCTAGAAATTTAATACTTTTCTGTAACTTTAAACTTAGATTGTTTTGTTATAAATTTTTGTACCCTTCTGTTAAAGATGCAGCGTTGGGCTTTTTTATTTTTTAAAGATGAAATAAGCCCTTACCTTTCCTCTTGTCTCTGGGGAATGTGAGCTAATGGTTCTTATTTAAGATTCTGCATTTCGTTCACTATCCACTACTATTCTTTAGCCAGAAATTCTCTAGTAATCTGAAATAATGTGACTGAAGACCAGTTTTTAAATTATGTGTTGAAGAAAATGGAAAAAAAAAAAGCCTAATTGTGTTGTGCCAAATGATAGCATCAGGAAGTCCTAATTTATTGTCTAAAATAAATAAATTTTAAAAATATATCATCTTTATATATGTCAATGTGACTACATAGAAAAATAAGTAGCAGCAGCAACTACTGTTATCATTATAAAAACGCTGAAAGAAACATCTGTATCAAAAAAAAAAAAAGCCTGTGGGAGAATTCTGTTTCAGAATCGAGTCCCTTTTCCACCTAGGAGATATTTTTTTAATATTTCTTAAGTGAATGCAAGAATAGACACACAGCCGGGCGCGGTGGCTCACGCCTGTAATCCCAGCACTTTGGGAGGCCAAGGCGGGTGGATCACGAGGTCAAGAGATCGAGACCATCCTGGTCAACATGGTGAAACCCCGTCTCTACTAAAAATACAAAAAATTAGCTGGGCATGGTGGTGCATGCCTGTAATCCCAGCTACTCGGGAGGCTGAGGCAGGAGAACTGCCTGAACCCGGGAGGCGGAGGTTGTGGTGAGCCAAGATCACGCCATTGCACTCCAGCCTGGGTAACAAGAGCGAAACTCCGTCTCAAAAAAAAAAGAATAGACACACACCTCTGAAAGATGACTTTGCTTCCTACTAACAGCAGGAGCTACATACTTATTTGTGCTTAGGTTCTGTCCTATACAGAGTCCATCCAACCCTGAGATTTAAGTTTAAAAATCCAAACATGACCGTCTTAACTAAACAAATACTTAATGTGAAAATCTACACTGGTGATCCACCCGCGTTGGCCTCCCAAAATGCTGGGATTATAGGCATGAGCCACCACGCTTGGCCAGTATTGTTATTTTTTAGTATTTTTCCTAAATACATTTGATTCACAATTGGTTGAATGTGTAAATGTGGAACCAGTGGATACAGAAGGCCAGCTGTACATAAGTAAATTAACAAACTCAAACAATATAGGAAAAAGCCTATAGATAGCAAAAATAAAGGGGGGAAGGGGGAATCTCTTAATAAAATAAATAGATTTAGAACAGATATCAAAATAGGACTATCTATTTGAAAGCTCTTTAAAAGCTTGGCTGGGAGCAGTGGCTGATGCCTGTAATCCTAGCACTTTGGGTGGCCAAGATGGGTAGATCACTTGAGATCAGGAGTTTGAGACCAGCCTGGCCAACATGGTGAAACTACATCTCTACTAAATACATAAAAATTAGCTGGGTGTGGTGGTATGTGCCTGTAGTCCTAGCTAATTGGGAGGCTTAGGCAGGAGAATAGCTTGAATCCAGGAGTTGAAGGTTGCAGTGAGCTGAGATCACACCACTGCACTACAGTGTGGGCAACAGAGCAAGACTCTGTCTCAAAATACAATAATAATAAAAAATAAAATCCCAGTTGCAGCACTAGAAGAACCTTTACAGATTATCATCTAGGACAAGAAAATCATTCAGAACAGTGGCCTCCAAGTGGGATACAGGAAGACTACTTCAGGAATTATTTACATTTTTATCTTTCTTATTCTTTTCTATTCCGATTTGAACATGTTTTATGATATAGTGGCATAGAATAATAC